GTGGGAGGAGATGGGTGATAGGAATGATGAGAAGACTAATAGTAATAGTAATGCAGCCTTAGTGAATAGACAGTGGTGAGGGAATTATTTGTTCAACAGAGAGATGGCATTGGAGGTGGGTGGTGGGGATAGACTGTTCTTGTGTCTAGTTGTCTTGGTGTGCAGTGATCTATAGCATCATTTTGAGGATAGAAGTTGAAACAATTTATGTCAGGGATATGAGGGGTCTTTAAATCTTCCCTAAGGTGTGACCAGAGTTTTCATCGAGGATTGAATAAGGAGAGAGAGAGGGATTTAGTCTTCTTCTTTTCTCATCTGGAAGTAAGTCCAGCCATGCTTGTATCTAAAAATCTTTGCCAATCCATAAAAAAATGAAAGGCACCAAACAACAACCTCCCAAAAGATCCACGACCTTATAAACAGCAGAAATTCAGCATTGTTGAGCTGCATTGGTTGCATGGTTTTGCTGATGCAGTTTTCTGTGACAAGAAACATTACGGTATGGTAATTTACCAGATTATAATGGTAGTTTGTCATGGTGAGATTTAAAATTAAGGGAATAACAGTGTTGGAAGGCACCTTGGATGTCTTCTAGTCCAGGGATCACCAACCTTTCGGACCTCCAGGACCACTAAATTCATAGTTTTAAATCCCACGGACCACTAATATGATCTGCCTAATCATGTGACGGTGGGTGTGGCCAACTCGATATCACTCACGTCAATGGGTGCTTCACCAGCCTCTACTTGCCCCTCCCCTCCCAGCCATTCCTCGCCTGGGCTCCTTAGGGCTCCAACAGGAAGCAGTTGTTGGAGCTAAGCAGCCACCATGAGAAAGAATTGGCAAACCAGCTGGCTCAGTTCAAATTGGATCTGACCAAGAAGGAGGCTCAGCAAAAGCACTGAGGACTATGAGCATAGGCTTTTCAACCAGCGGGAAGACCTGCAGGAGTGCAAGGCCTGGAGACTCAGTGGGCTGAGATGATCAGCCAGTTCCAGGCCATGATGCAGTCCCACTGGAACAAGGCCCTCTGGCTCTTTGCCTCCAGCAGCACTTCCCTCCAACCTTTGCCCAAAGCTCCACACCAGGAGGCTGAAGCAAACCGCAAGTTGGAATTTTTGCCCAACTCCAACCTGCACAAAAAGACCCAGAAGGGGGAGACTCTCTGCAGCAACACAAACGTTCATTGCGCATATCCAGCCCAAGGGCCATAGTTTGAGGACCCCTGATTTAGTGCAATATAAAAAATGCAAATAAATTTTCAGCGGACCACCAAAATTTTGTCACAGACCACGAGTGATCCATGGAGCACCAGTTGGTGACCGCTGTTCTAGTCCAACCCCCTGCTCAGGCAGGTAACCTTATTATCCTTACTGGATCTTGTTTGTATTTTCCACAGAAATGATATATGGATGCTGAGTCCATGGTATTGGAATATGACTAATTCAATAGTTTATTAAATAACAGATGGTCAATTCTGCATGGTGTTGGTATGTTATTTCTGAAGTTTCTTAATTTAGAACATTTAAGTTCCTTAGGATCTTTACCCTGGAACTATCTATCCAAAAGGTTTTTATCTTGCCAGGGTTTTAAACCAGTTTACATCATCCTCTATAGCAGGGTGTCAAACTCACGTCTTCACGGTGGCGTCACATGAGGTATCAGGACTCCCCCCCCCTTTGCTAAACCAGGCATGGGTGTGGCCAGCGTGTGACTTATCCGGCACACGGGGCAGGAGTTTTGACAACCCTGCATTATACTATTAATATACATTTAAGACCACACCATCTTGTAAAAATGTATTGACAATTTAGCACCATAGACTACTTAGAGTAAGACAACATGGACAGGAATTATGACTAACCCTAACTCCTAAACTGAAAGTGATCCCTTACTTTTAGCAAAATTATATAACAGATATGTTCAGTATCTCTGTATGTAATGTGTGAAAATCAGTGTTCTGGTTGAATGAACACAGGTGATTCATCTTCAAAGAGTTTCACAAATCTGTTATAACACATACTTTTTCAGTTCTATATATGTTTCCAGACAACTTAATAAGACAGGTTATTGAGGATAGGGAAAACAACAATTACTGTACTACATGTGTCTTAATCAATATAATAAAATAAGCCAACAAAGATTTGTATGTGTTTCTGTGTATATGTCTTTATAATGATGAAATAATACTCCTAGTTGGGAAATGGAACACACTGGCTAACAACTCTTTAGCTGAACTAAGTTTCAGATAGCGTATTGTTTACTTATGACATTGGAAACGACTCCAGCAGTCTTGCTGTTTTCCCCCCTCTTTTTTTCTTTTCCATTCTTTTCTAGTTGCCATACTTGTCATAACTGTAGTATAAGGAACTATTTTGGTCCCACTTTGAGCAGTCTCTTTCAATCTAGAAATTTTTGAATGCTGAAATTTTTCATTTTGCCATTCAGACTGTTTGCAGAGTTTTGAAAGATCTAGCTATCCCCTCACTGCATCATTTGACACACCTTTTTGTTTTAGCAAAATATGACAGAATGGCTGGATCTGTCGTGGTTGTAATTTATTTTTTATCCTCTCAGACTTCAACTCCATGTCTGTCTTTTTCATTTTTTTTCTCTAAATGAAAGGGAGATCCATGATAACAGGATCATTGTTACCATTATTTAGACAGATTTGGAATAGGGGCTTGCCACAAGTTTAAACAACAGGTCACTTTTTCATATGAATTTTCTGTCTCATCCTAGAGCAGTGATGGCGAACCTATGACACGCGTGTCA